TTTTTATCCTAAATACAATAATACATCAATTTATATTATCTCTCAAATTTATAATTCTTTTTCAAATCTATCTCTGTTGATTACATGTATAAAAAGGGATTTTCATCAATAGGAGCATTTTAGGATAGCTAACAAACAGTGGTTACAAATGATTAATTTAACTAATTTTTTTAATATTAATAAAATAGTTATTTAGCTTATGTATATAAATTTGGAGGGAATAATATACTAAAAACATAAATTTACACTATTCAAAATTCCTTTTAAAATATGTCTTCAAATATGAGAATACATGCATCTTACAATTACCGAACGACCCTTTTCTTTCTAATGGGAATTCTTTTTTCTTTGGGGCTTTTATTTCCAAATAATGCACACCAATAAGATAATAGAATAATAGAATCCCCTTTTATTACAGTGACTTGTGAGGTTCGAATATATTAAAGTCATTAAAATGATTCCAAGATTGTAGAAAACTACCTATCAAACATTTTTCCATCTACTCTAGAGAGTCGATACTAACACTATTCAGCATTTATACAAAATCCATTCATGCTCCGACGAACCCATTTAAAACTGTTTAAAAGTTAGTTGAAATTAGGGGCAGAGTATAGCATATGTCATTCTCTCCTTTTACTTTCTTTTCTTCTGATACATGCCACCCCAGCGTTCATGCATATTTGTGGTTCCTTTTATAAGAGTAAGGTTCCCATAGTAGCGATAGCATTAAAATCCAATTAAAATCGACTGATCAAACTAGTGTGCTAGTGAGCCAATCTCACAGCCAGTTTTGACCAAATCGATCGGATTGAATTTTATATTTTTCCTCTCCTTACTGAGCCTAAGATGTCATTTTGAATAAAAAATAACAGTAAACCATATTTATGCTTTAATAACTCTGTTTCATTAAATTATATGTGGTTATTTATATATGATTGTTCTATTTACTCGTGATTTAATGTCTTTTCTATTTAAATATTATTCTTTTCAGGGCTCTCTATGAATATTTTTGTACATTTTTATTAAACGATATTATTTATACATGAATTTTCAATTTACTTATGAATTAACTCTGGTCAATCATGATTGGGTTGACCTCTTGAACTATTCTCTTGAACAATTCACTGACTGATCCATTTTTGAACATCTTGATTGCAGTAATAAAATCTGAATTATTCTGTCACAATATTTGTTTACCACTCAAAGTTCATTACACCATAACATATCACCATCATAATCGGCCGTGTCAATTCCAATATGTAAAAGGCCACAATAAGCAAAAAAATAACATGTATTCATCAAATTCCCCAGGAGCACAATAAGTGGCATCTTTTATCTTATATAAATTAACATAAATAAAAACCAAATCCGTCAACAGGTGAATATGTATATAAATAATAGGTACTATAATCAGTCATAAATATAAGAACTAATTGAATATTTAATTTGGTTATAAATATAAGATTCTAATATATTTTATATTTCATATTTATTTATTTTTCAAAACTGTACATCCATTTTTTCCTAACATAGTTCCTATGGTGATTATACATGTTAAAGAGTTTCCATTCTAATACACATTATTAATAAAGATATTTTACAAAAAACAATACGTATTTGTTATAAATAGCTAACTTAACTAATTTTTTTAATATTTACGAATTAGTTATCTAGCTCTTATATTAAGAATTTGAAGTAGTATAATAAAAAGAGTAAAATACTCTCCTTTGCATTTTGACCTAGTTACACTGACTTTCCCTTTATTGTGAAAACATGCACTTAAGTCCATACTGTTAACTCTGTTAAGAATATTCTTCTAAAAAAAAATACTTTCTAATTAAAATTTATTCTTCATGATACTAAATTTCTAAATTTTGGCTAAAAAGCTTTGACGAATTTAAAATTTTTTACTTTCCTTAATTTTATTTTTTGTCTTTACAAATAGTTATTTGTTTAGTGTTTTTGTCATATTGGGATGGAAAATTAATTAATTTAGTTAATATAGAAATAAAAACCTTGAATGAAAATTTCATTAATTCTTTAAACAAACATATAATCGACTAAATACGTTATAAATGTTTATAACAAAATTTATACTTAAAAAATTTTAAATTTTAAATTTAAATGATTTCTATAGTCTCTCAAACTTAGACAGTTTATATTATATGATGAAAAAAATATTTATTTAATATATTTTCTAGCCATTTAAAAGAAATCTAAATAAATGAGTTTGTGAAAAATTAAAATTATAAATTTTCATAATATAATCAAAATTAATAAATTTTTTGCATATTAAGAATTTGAAAATACATGTATTAAAATTATTTTTGGTTGTATCAAAAATTACTTTTTTGACAAATATAAATGTTTAAATAAATTTTCTATTATGGAGAGGTATTTTAGTCAAAATAGAAATTTAAAAGGCAAACTTAACGACCACCTAACGATTGGATGAATGGAAATGAAATTTTAAATATATAAAGAAAGTTTGTGTAACATGCATTTTAATTTCAATAAAGATTTATATACATTTTCAAAATATAGGAGATGTTTCCGGAATTTAAGAAAAATGTAGTAATAGTTAAAGTATTCTACTCTAATAAAAAAAGCAGGCCTGCCAATGTATACATGTTTATGTTGCAAAGCATATAGTATCTTTTTTCCTTTTTGCCCAACTGCAAAGTATCTAGTATTTGGTATTATTAATTAAGGAAAATTAAGTTCCTTCCATTTGACTTAACTGTCATCATTAGTTCATGTGTACTTTAATTTAATTGTGATAATATGTTTTAGACCAACAAGTGGACGCACATGTTCATTCTTTGTTATCTAAAGAACTAAACAAAAAGGCAACAAAAAGCCCTTTTGTGACTTCTTAACGATCATGATAATCATTGTACCATTAGTAGTTTTCTATAATACAAGCCCATCAATATGACAACAACATTTTTAAATTACATGAACTTCCGCCTTACCAAGACTCTAAACAATTTGATGAGGAAATTTCAACCAGCAGTTCCGCGCTAATTATTTTCTTGTGATATGATTCATGTTCTTGCATTGATTATTTTTGTTTTCTGTCTTCCTATAAGTATCAATCACGTAATAAAAGAAAATGACAAGTCATTCTCAGTAGTAACATTATGTGTAGGTGGAAAGGGATTTTCATGGGACCCTGCAAAGACAAAATTGCAGATTTCGAGCTCCATGATAGTCCCCCCTTAGAATCTGCTTGCTTAAACAGTCAGGGTTAGTTTGGGGTCCAATTTTCTGTCACTTGCCTTCAAATTCCTTCGTGTTCATCCCTATCCAGAGTAATTGGATTGATACACGATTTTAAGTGTATACTTCATGAGATTCTGTTTCTCTATTAAAGATAAATACCCAATAATAAAAATAGTAAGGCAATAACATATGACAGATAAATCTTACTGAAACAAACTCCATTATTGATCTTTTCTGTTCAGATAACCTTATGATTAAATTTGACTGTTACTTAAGGGAATTTCAAGGTTCAGTTTCCTGACCATCTAAGGGTCTTGACAGATAGAATAATCTTACAGTAAATATAAAATCAGGCCAAAAAAAAAAATCTTCTTAAATCTCTCCCATATAGAAGTAACTCGAAAAGTATTGTTATTAAATAAAGTGGTTAACATTGCAAGGGACTTAATTACAGGGATCTTTAAGAACAGCCAATTTCAATTTTCAAACAAGAAGAAATTACAATGTAATAAATTCTTTTCTATCTATATTCACAATGGATCAACTTATGATGATCAAATCAGATCCAGACAATGGAAGGACATGGATCTTTCTTTTAGTTTTTCATCACTGAAGTGACCTGAGAAGCACAGATATGATCTTTGAACAAAAACCCATCAGCAAAATCTAAATCTCAGTGACATTTTCAGTGAAGTCAGAAGAATTGTAAGGACTCTAGATGGACCAGAAAAGAAGGAAAGACATGGAGGTTAGGAATGGAAAGTAGATTGTCATAGATGTTTTGTCATTGTCAAATATATTTCTCAGATGAAATCCATTGATTTGAGAACTAATACTTGGCTGTTTATTCTCGCAATTTCTTTTGGTTACGAGAGTTTCAGTGGTCCATTCTGGATGCACCCGAACACACTAGGTTCATGCACAGCCATGTTTTGTTGGTTTGTGCTGTAACTTTTCTAGATGTGACTTGAGAATTTTAATCATGAGAGCTCACTCTTTAATTGTTCATAAAAGCCTGCATGAGAAAATTAATGCTCTGTTTCTTTACTTGTATGAGGATGGACAACTCGTGTGCAACTCTAATAATTGATCCTTATACACTTCACAAGGGAGGACTGGCCCCTCCATGTTAAACTGTGTTAGTATTGAACATGGGGGAACAGGCAATGTATAAGAAGGGAAAGTTCTATTACAACTGAGAACAGAAGAATGATACAGGTAATTCTTAAAATCTCTTGAAATGTTCTCAAATTTAAGATACTCTAAGAAATTTACTATTATGTCCTTATATCATTCTCTTAAAATTATTATGACTAGACAAGTTTTTTCATACAATGCATAACATCTAAGGAATGAAGTTCTCATCTTGTAAATATTATGACTTATTATATATTTCAGATTTTATAGAAAAAGTTTCCATGAATTGTACAGAAGTTTTTTTTTTTTTTTTTTAAAAACAGAGTCACTCTATGCAATACTTGTACATAGTAAGCTTGCTGTGGATTTTGTATTGCATAGTAATATTAAGTTTGGTATTGATTAATAATTTCATAATAAACTAAACATGTTCTCCCCTTTCCCCGTTTGCATCACATAGAATATGAGGATTAATCTATGTTGTTTGCGATTTGTGTCTGCTATAGATCTTATATTTTAGATTAATGATTTGCAAAGATAATGTCACTTTAGTCTGTCAGTTATTTTTCATATTTATTTTAAACTCTCAAATAATAATTTTTCATGTTAGATTTTAGATATTATTTTACCCACATGGCAACTTAAATAAATCCTTAGGTTCTTCACAACCCCGCTTGGAGCACACCATTAAAACCAGTTAACCCGAAGTCAACGGCTAGCTTCTCACTAGGTTTCCATTCTATAGTACGAAGCAATCTCTTTCTCCTCTTCTATATCAAAAGTCAGCATTAGTGTTAAGAACATACCCTGATAATCTTAGAAAACTAGAGAACTCTGTCAGCATTGTCTCTATCTCATCATATCTTGGGTGAGACTTGTCTCCAGCAATAAACTCGTGGACTTCACCATAAACCTCTATTACACTACATCCAGGGACTTTATTCACACCATCTGCTTTCATCATCTGCCTCAAACTGCTAACCCTTTCCCAGTTCTTATCATCAGCATATATGTTAGATAAAAGAACATAAGCACCATCATTCTTGGACTCCAGCTCCACCACCTTTCTCAAGGCAAAATCACCCAGTCCTCTGTTATTGTACATTCTACAAGCATTAAGTAATGCTATCCATGCACCAGCATGAGGTTCCATAGGCATCTTATTTATGAAGTTCATGGCTTCTTCTAAACGCCCTGCTCGACCATATAGATCAACCATTAAGCCATAATGCTCAAGTTTAGGGTCAATTCTATACAGATTTTTCATTGACTCAAAATGCTTCTGACCTTCTTCAACCAGACCAATCACATTACACCCTCTTAAGACTGAAATAAAGGAGACTTCATTTGGCTGTATACCATACTGTTTCATAAGAGAAAATAGATCAAGACACTCCTTGCCAAACCCATTCACGGCTAACCCACCAATGGCACTACTCCAAGTGTAAATGTTCTTTTCCTTCATATCCCAAAAGATTTCCATGGCCTTGTTAATATTTCCACATTTTGCATACATGTCAATAACTGCAGTTCCTAGTGTCACCGTCATCTTGAGCTTGTTTTTCTCTATATACGCATGAGCCCATCTTCCTTGATCTAATGCTCCCAAGTGAGTACATGCAGATAGAATCGAAACCATGGACACTTCATCAACTTTCACACCCTTTATTTGCATCAAATTAAACAAATCCAATGCCTCACTTGACCTCCCACACTGAGCATACCCTGCAATCATAGCATTCCATGCTACAGTATCTCTTTCAGGCATTTCATCAAACAACTGTCTTGCAAAGTCAATATCGCCACATTCAGCACAGGCCTTTACCATAGCTGTCTTAGAAACCAAATCTGGCTGAGCAATCGCCTCAAAAACCCCTCGACACGAATTTAAACAACCCAATTCAGCATACAAAAATATCAACCCACTCTGTACATGGGGGTCATTCTCAAACCCATACTTTATAACCGCACCATGAACCGACAAACCCACTTCCCGCACCAAAAGCTGGGCAGATGAGCGAACCAAGAAATTGAAAGTGTAATTATCAGGCGAGATATTGTTTCGGGAGCGGAGAATTTGATTATAGAAGTAAAAACTTTTGTGAGGACTGGTACTCTTGGAGTAGGCTCTTATCAGAGAGTTGAAGGAGAATATACTGGGGTTATGATAATGGTGCAGCAGCTTAATGGAGTAATCGAGATTGGTGGGATTCTCCAAGGCGATGGCGGCTACGAATTGACCATGAAAGTGAGGCTTGTTGAGAATGCCGGTTAGTATTAACTGAGTGTGGATCTGCTTGAGCTCTTTGAGAGTGATGCCTGATTGAACAAGTAAAATTGCGGGGTGCTTTGCGATAGACGTAAGAGAGTTCATTACAGGCATACGCGATTTGAAAGTCGATCATTTGGTATTGAGCTTTGGGATCTTGCTTTTCTGGTTCCCCCCCCCCCCCCCCGGCGCCTTCGAAAATGATTCAAACAAAAGTTAAGAGCCTTCCCATCCTCATCTCCTCCGACACACTCTTTTTCTCTTCACAAGATCAAAATTATTTCAATAGTCCAGATTTAACATCTTATAAAAATAATATTATTAAACAATAAATTGATAAATTTAAATTGTTAAAATCTGGTCTGAATAGTTTACAATTATAATAAAAAAAATTTACTCTATAATAACAGTATGTAATTATGAACTATTCAGATTAGATTTTAACAGTTTAAATTTATTTATCTATTTTTTATCATAATATTTATTTTTATAAAATATTAAATCTACACTATTGGAGTTTTGATCCAATAATTATGAAGAGAAAAAGAAAGTAGTGGAGGGGAAGAGGATCGGAAGGTAGTGGAGAGAATCCAAGTCTGGTATTTCCCTCCTTCGTCTTTGAAAATGATTCAAACAAAAGTTTACTTTTGCAATTCTTATTTTCAATTTACTCATTATACTGTCCAAAACCAATTTAGCAAAAAAATTAGTACCATTAGTTTTTTAAATGCATTAAGCATTGTGCGCAAATTTTTCCCGGCTTGTTCGAGTTCATCCATCATGTTAAGACTGGGTTGATAGTATCCTTTCTCAGATTTCACCTCATTTTTGCTTTTAGTGTCTAAAATTAAAATCAATGGTTTGGATGCTCGAAATTTAATTTGATTTTGATTTCTAAAATTTGAAATAAGTAATTTTGGTTCTTAAAATTTAATTTAATTTTGATCTTAGTCTTTATTTCAGAAATAAAAAATTTTAAGCTGGATCAAAATGAAATCAAATATCAAAATTACTGGTTTAAAATTTTAAAAAGTAACACCAAAATGAAGTGAAATTCTATAAATTGAACAATATTTTAAAATTTTATGGGTTAAAACTATAGTGAGGTCACATTTCAAACATAAAAGATAATATTAACCCTTGATGTCGAGTTCAGTAAAGTTTGTAACTAATTTACCTGTTTTCCTTTTTATTTTTCAAAAAGTTTAGGTTATATTTTAAACAGATATGTTATTTGTTAATCCTAATTAGATATGACTATTATGAATATTGCATGAGTGGATGTCCATAACTCCTAACTCTTAAAATTTTTATAGGATTTCTCACTTTCAAATGTTATAAACTACATAACCTTCTCAATAAATGATTTGGGACGAGTTTCTCATTGTTAATATCATTATGATATTCTTTACTTCTTTGTAACTCTAATGTAGGACTTCAATGCTTGAAAGCCTATAAATAGAGGCCATACAAGGCATTTGTATTATGAAACAAAGTGAATAAGAAAAAAGTCCTTGTCTTTTCTATTTCTTGTTTTCCTTTCTACTCTCTAGTCTCCTTATTTTTTTCTAGTTTTATAACACGTTATCAGTACGACCTTGCTCTGAAAATTTGAGGTATTAACTCTTTGTAAGATAATGTATTCTTCTCATTATCTAATTATCTCCTTATCCAATCATTATCATATATATCTATACATTAGCTACATATTAATTTTAGGGAAAATCCCAAAAAAGGTCCTTGGAATATGGAAAATACCAGATTGGGTCCTTAAATTTCGAAAATGACAGAATGGATCATTGACTCAATCTGTCATTTGTGAAATTCAAGCGAATTGACAATTTTGCCCTCATTTATTCATTCACTACAATGATTCAAGGAATCACTATAAGAGTTTAGGTGTTACCTAGATTCGTGTAGCAAATAACTACTCACTTTTTCATAGTCAGGTGTCTTGTTATTAACTACAACTAATTCTGTAATCACTAGAACAATGTAAGTATTACCTAGATTTGTGTAGAGAATAACTATTCATTTTTCATAGTCAAGTATCTTATTATTGTCAGGTACCTTATATTAACTACAACGAATCTTGTAATCACTAGAACAGTATAAGCGTTACCAAGATTTGTTTAGAGAATAACTACTCACTTTTGCTCAGGGGCAAAAATGTCAATTCGCTTGAATTTCACAAATGACAAATTGGGTCAATGACCCATTCTGTCATTTTTGAAATTTAAGGACCCAATCTGGGATTTGGTATATTCCAAGGGCTTTTTCTGGGATTTTCCCTTAATTTTATATTATCTCGTTTCTCAATTATCATGTTTTATATTATATAATGTTATTCTATTTTTCTTTTTTTTATGTTTTAATTTTGTCATCACGTTATATATATATTTTTATTTTATGTTACATTATGTTATTTTATTTTCTCCTTTTTGTGTTTTATATTATGTTATCATTCTGTTTTTATTTTAAGTCATTTTTTTATGTTGTTCTATTATAAAATATTATGTTATTTATGTTTTTTTTATAATTGATGTAATTTATCTATCATCTCCATTTGGTATCTATATTGCTTTATATTATTTTATTTCTGTTGTACTAACTCTTATATACACACACACACACACACACACACACATATATATATATATATATATATATGTCTGTGTGTGTAATTTATATTGTTTATATTTTCTTTTCTCTCATTATATTTGTTTATATTTATTTATGTTGTTTATATAATTTATTTATAATAATGCCTAATAGTATTATATGTGATTATATAATGTAATTTATATAATTATGGTTTTTTATTATTTATATTATAAATTTGTATTTATTTCATTTATTTCACAGTAGCATTATCTTTGTTTTTAATTTAAATTGTTATTATATATTATTTAGTTTATTGTAACATTTATATATTTATTTATATTACTCCTTTTTCCTTCTCCACCTATATATATTTATATACATTGTCTCTATATTTTATATTGTAACTAATTATTTGTGTTGTTTATCTTTTTCATTCCTATATGTGTTTATTTGTTTTTTTTTGTAATTTTGAAGGAATAATTTATTTGTGGGTGACTTTTGAATCCTAATATTTTATTTATTATGTTTCAGTGTTCATCAATTTTATTATAATTTTAATTTTTGTTATTATCATTTTAGTTTGATCCATGGCCAATCTTACCAAACTCGAGTTTACGACCCTTGATATCATAGGAAAAAAATTATTTGTCTTGGGTCTTAGATGTTGAAATCCACCTAGATGTCAAAGGACTAGGAAATGCTATTTTACTCGGAAATTAAGCAACCAGCCAAGACAAGACTAAGGCCATGATTTTCCTAGGCCACCGTTTGCATGAAGGGTTGAAAGATGAATACCTAACGATAAAAGATCTGTTAGAATTGTGGAATAATTTTAAAAAAATGTATCATTAGCACAAAAAAAAAGTAATTTTGCCTAAAACTCGTTATAAATGGATGCATTTGATGCTCCAAGATTTTAAAACTGTGACTGAATATAATTCAGCAGTTTTCAAAATAAGTTTTCAATTGAAATTATGTGGTAAGAAAATAACAAATGAGAACTTATTAGAAAAAACCTTTTTAACTTTTCATGCTTCAAATGTGCTCCTATAGCAGTAATATTGTGAAAAGGGTTTTAAGAAATATTATGAATTGATCTCATGTCTTCTTGTGGCTGAACAAAATAATAAGCTATTAATGAAAAATCATGAGATTCATCTCACTAGATTAGCTATATTCCCTGAAGTGAATGTGACTATATACAATCATTATCATATGCATTGACCTGGTCGTGGTCGTGGTCGTGGTCGTGACCGAGGCCGTGATCATGTCAAAGGGACGTGTTAATTACTGTTATTTTAATGGTAGAAGTAACAATTATAATTCAAATACCCACCAAAAGAAGAAACTTGGTGATGGACAGAAAAAAGATAAGAATGACCCTTCAAGAGTTATTGAAAATCAATGTTATCGGTGTGGTATGAAAGGACATTGGTCATACACCTATCATATGCCCGAGCATCTTGCAAAACTTTATCTGGCCTCCATAAAAAGGAGTTCAAATTATATAGAAGCAAATTGGACTTTTCAAACTGATGATGTGGAGGTAAATTTTGCATTCAAGAATGACGATGTCAATGAGCTAGATGATGTTCATGGCCTTGAAGCTATGGCACATTAAGAGTGGCTAATTTCTTTGAGAATTATGATTAGAAGAGTTTGGACAAAGAAAATGTTTTAGTTTGCTTTATTCATTCTTTTTAACTTAGTTTATGCTTTACTTATGTTTACTTCCTTCTTTTCTTTTAAAAGCATTATTGATCATGATGTACTTGGAACTTATATTAATGTATTTCTTTTCTTTTGGTGAAGAAGATGGATGTTTTTCTTCCTTTGTTTGGGCACAAGAATGAAGATATATGTCTCATAGATAGTGCTCTAACACACATCATACTCAAAGATAAAAAAATATTTTTCTTATCTTACAATAAATAGTGCAAGAATCAATACTATAACAAGTAATACAAAACTAAAGAAGGCTTTGGAAGAGCAATTATAATATTACCCAGAGGAACAAAATTTGTTATCAATGATACTTTATATTCCTCTAAGTCTCAAAGAAATTAATTGAGTTTTAAAGATATCTGCTAAAATGGATATCATGTTAAGACTATAAATAAGAAGAACATTGAATATCTACATGTTATAATGGTAAGAAATGGAGAAAATTTTGTCATGAAAAAATTATGGACATTATCTTCTGGTTTGTACTATATAAATATTAGTATGATTTAAACAAATACTATAATAAACTAGAAGTTTACTAATGAAAAGACATTTATTCTTTGGTAAGACTGGTTGGGCCATCTCAGATCAACTATGATGTAAAGAATTATTAAAAATTAACATGGATATCCATTGAAGAGCCAGAAGATTCTTCAATTTAAAGATTTTTTATGTGCTGCTTGTTCTTAGGACAAGTTAATTATAAGGCATTCATTGACAAAAGTAGGAGTTGAATCTCCTGCATTTCTAGAGCATATCCAAAGAGATATATGTGGACCTATCCATCCACCATGTGGACCATTCAAACATTTTATTTTTTTGATAAACGCATCTAC